TTCGCTGATCTGATTCTCCTGTTTTTCTCACTACCCGCCGCACGACAGAAAACACCACCTGCTCTGAGCTCCTCACTGCTACCCTAGCAGCTCATGCTGCCTTTATGAATGTACACATATAAAGCCCATCCCACGACACGCCATTCACTGTGAAGATGGACTCGGGAAAGATCCCACCAAAGGACCATTCCGGTCCATCCCAATCCCGCCATCCTACCTCCGCGTCTCATACTCGGAGCTCTTCGGCCACGACGCCGTTCCCTCCACTTGCGTCCAAGAAAGCGACGCGGGACTCTTTGACCTTCTCTTTTCCCCCGCTTTTCCAACCCAATACGTCCTCGACCTCACTTATTCCTTCGACTGCAGAGGGGAAGCCCATACCTCTTGACGACAGCACCGCCGCCCACCGCACTTCAGCTCTGCGCGAGCTCAACAGCAATTACCCGTCTCGCCATCGCTACGCCAAGTCTACCGGTGCCCAGAGCAGCACTTACTCACAGCCAGTCATCGTCAGAACATATTCTGGCTCTCATAGCCGACCCACGAGCACAAATCGGAGCAACGGTGGTAGCGCCGGTCTTGGCCCAAGGTCCACCTCATCCGTTGTGAGCGGACCGGCGGCATCCGTTCGGCGCATTATCGCTCTGCGAACACCCTTTGGCGGCAGCAAGTCGGCTCAAAATGGCGGTCTGAGCATGGCCAGAGGAATGGCGAAGAAGCGACTGGAAGGACAAGAGGCTATGGCCAAGCTCCCTCCCGTCGAGGCTTTCGGCTTCAAGAGCATGATGGCCAACATCGAGTCGCAGGAGGGAGACAACAACATCAACGCCGACCTGGACCGCATCGCTGAAATATGTGCCAGGTCACGATACTCATTGAGTAACCAGTATGAAGTTCACGTCGCGCCTCATGGCTCCGGCGCGTCCTTCGTCAGTCACGCATCATCTTCCCGACGCCAGCGTCACAGCGTGGGACCTACCTTGGAAGCCGTATCAGATGATGAACGAAGGCACAGGAAGCGACGCAGTAATGGTAGGAGGAGGAGCATAGCAATGGGGACGCTCGAGACCATCATGTCGTCCAGCCGGTCATCGGAGGAAGACAAGTCCAAGAAGAAGTCGGCAGCTGAGATTACAGCAGAGGTACATGGTAGGGCAGCAGCTCGGAAGTCGGGCAGCACGACGCCTTCGTCTACAGTCAGTGAAGAGGAAGGGCCCTCGAACCAAGAAGAAAAGGCCCAGTCGCCTCCTCTGACCAGGAGAAAGTCGTCCTCGTTCGCGACGGCCATGCTAGAGAGCACACGACAGAGCCTAACGGCCAGCAACCAGGCATCACCACGAAGCTCGGCGAATGCTTTGGTGAGCGAGCCGGCTCTGCCGAAGACTTCGACGAGCCACCTCGAAGTTCGGACGGATGTAGAAGAGAGCGTGGGGCATCGCCATGCCCGCAAAGGTTCGGACGAAAGACTGCAGCACGAAGTGTCCAAACCACAACAGCGCGAAACTTCAACCCAGCTCGATCAGACGAAGAACACCAGGGGTCTCTTGGCAGGGCTCACCGGCTGGGTGCCTTGGAGACTACCGCCCATTGTGGGATTGGGATCAACTTCCGCTCAAGGCGGTGTTCCCAGGAGCCATGCCGAGGGAAGCTTGCGGGATCTGCTCAAGACAACTGACACTAAGAACAAGGGAAAGGCCATCGAAGGCCAGGCTTGAGATGGCAACGCGATGACAACTTGGGAAGATGGCGGAACCGACGCCTCTACGGTATACACGACTGGACGATACGGTGCAGCGGCGATGATTTGTTTACCGCAACCAAAAAGGATTTACCAAAAAAGGTTACGATACCCATATACAGCAAAAGGACATACACAAAAGGACAAGAGACGCAAATGGGTGTTTGTCTCGCCATCTGTAACCAGTACAGCTCACGATTTTGACGATGATTTACGACTTTTTGTTTTTTGAAGATACACAGATTAGCCAGATGCGGAAAGGGTTTGCTAGGATAGGCGGTTCTTTCAAATTGAGATTTTCATGCGGCGTTATATCGAGTGTTCCTGCAGGGTTGTCTCGAGGTGTGTTTGGCTTGTAAGATACTCCAAAAATAAGAGATCCAAAAGCAAGAATGTTTTTCGTTTGAGGACTTCAGCCGGCGTAGAGTCGCGATCTTCACTGCCTTCAGGGACATAATGTCGGGTATGTCAGATCGGGTGCCTCTGGGCTAACTTCCTATAGTCAGCCATTCACTTGGCCATAATGGGGTCCTCATGATCTCTGCTCCCCGTGATAAAAACCATAATCATACGTACGTCGACGGCCCCCTAAGCAGAAAACGCAAAGTAATACGTATGTAAGCAATAGTCAAGGGTATGAACAACAACAGTCAGCGACATGCTTAGCCAAAACGGCGATGGGCGGACGGCATCGCCGCCTCTGCCGCTAACGCCAGTGGAATCTTCTTCCCTATGGTAGACAGAGAGCTGCGGGCTGTGGTTGTGATCTTCTGTGCGCCCTGGTACACAGACCTCACACTAGGATGTATATCTTTGCAACTGACATCACCATGTTCTCTTGTTCGGGCGTATGCAGACGTACTTCCTGAGAAACTAAGATTAGGCTTACAAAGGGGCCTAGCATAATGCTCGTACATGTCTTTATTCGCGTTGGTTCAAGTCATTGGAGAAAGTCCTCATTCCTCATAGGTTGCATGGAGTGCGCTTTCTGTTTTACTTCTCAGCTTTGACATTAATTTTCCGAGTAAAGCGTCGTTTAAGTAGCTATCAGTGACACGTCCTGGTCACGTACTCGTCATCGTCAAGCAGTCCAACAATTGAGGCATGCTGGTAGGACTGTCTTCAAGGTATATAGAGGGACTCATAGGGGCTCGAGAAAACATTCTTGATAATTCTTCTTGATTCTCTTGTTGTGAACCTACCGTTGGTGTTGACTGGGATGGTGAAGGAAGGCGTCGTTGGGACTTGCACGGCTGTGTGTTCAATGTCAGCGGAACTGCCGTGCTCTAACTCTTTTGCCTAATTGGAATGAACAATTGGCCAGAGATGAAGGGCGCTGGAAAGAGCAGCATGTTACCATATTGCTGTCAGTCAGTCAGAAATCCGACATCCTAGTTTGCACGTATCGCCAACATTGCATGTGGATATGGGCATGTACAACCAGCCTTATGAATGAAAATCAAGTCGATTCCAGACATTTGTGATGCTAAAATACCTGGTTTCAATCTACCTTTTATACGTATGACTGCCCGGAGAATGACGAGGCGTAGCATTCTCGCGAGTCGGACGCACGCAAAGGGAGGGCGTTGGTTGTCTGTTCGGTATAAGTACGAGTACTTACATTAGGCCTCATGTTCCCAAATGTGATCTGACGATGAACTCTCTCCTAAGACCAGCGTCTCGAGAGGGAAACCCTGAATAGCTGGCTACTACAGCCGTCCACCGCGAGTCTCCACCCAGGCCTTGCGAGTTCGTGTCTGCAATACCCTCCAGAGCGTATTCGCACAGGTTTCGACCGACTATTCTCAGAGACCACGGACGACGCAGGAGTCCAGATCAGATGCCAGCTCGACCTAAAGCTAGCATACACTCGAGCTGACAATAAGTCACAGCTGAACAACCCCGGCCCTACCACCTTTCTAGTTTGAGGCGTAGATCAGAGCTTGCTTAAATACAAAAAGAGATTGTCTATATATTCGGGCCTGTGAGCGAGTTTGCTGCATCGACAACCGAGTCAAAATCTTCTCCTCATGGATAGCGTTCCCGACCTTGCGCCTAGTTGCGGACCATCAGAGGCCAGGGACGATTACGCAGTCCCCCTCCGTAAATCCTCTGCTATGATAGTGGTCTTCTTCCTCGGTTTCTTGCCATTATACGAACCAAATACTTTCAAAGTGATTCATCACGGCCTCTAGACTCTGCCCTTCTCGTCTTCATCACCTTCCAACCACCAACGGAGGCACGATGAACTCACCAGTGAGGGCAGAATCACACACCAAACACATTCCTTACCCTCTTCTCCATTTCAGTAAGCCCCTTTTTGTAATCGACTTCGAGCAGCCTGGTTCCCACGGCTTTTCTTGGTATACAATCGGATGGCGAGTACGTCAACATTTAACAGCATAACAATGCAATGGCTGCTGATCCAACTTCTGAAGTTTTTCGGGCGACACCACAGGAGGGAGAGCAACAAGGCAGGAATATAGCCCCTTTACCTCCTAGAGCCTCTTTGTCTGGGGCTCAAAACTTAAACACTCTTCCCATCTTTGCCGGTGTTGTCTTATTCGGTTACGCATATCAACAAAACCGGTGCATGATAGCTACGCGGTACACTTCCTGCGGAAAACAGACTGCCTCTTGCCGATCAGTGTAGAGTCTGCAGAACACCAGACTGACTCTCTATTGTAGGACAACGAGAGCAAGAAACATGTGGTGTGGGAGCAACGAAAGACGAGTGTGGTCGTTGGTTTACACCTCCTGTATCCTCGTCACCATCAAACACGTTTTGAGAGACTTAGCCAGGTACCGGAGACCCGTCACAAAGAGATGAGTATCATGTTTGCAAGAACAGATGGCTTGAGTACACCCCATCTGTTGGTATATTCATGCCTCGACGCCCACAGTTTAGTTCGAGACGCATCCCACATGCATTTACCAGCTAATCCTACAGCCACACGATGAGAAGCCATCCCATGCCCATCCGTCGTGTCTCCGAATCCATCTAGTAGGGGGGAATCTCGCTGACCAGCGATGAAACATGTCGAGGTTAAAAAAAAAACGAACCCTTTGCTCATAAAGCCTCAAAACAACTATGCCTTCTCGTTCAACCATAAGTTTCAGTTCCCCAACGCCATGCCAACGCAGCAAATGCAGGTTTGTGTGTCAAGTAGGATATATGTGTACCGCCATGGCCAGCCGTTCCATGCGCTGCACCATATCAGGCAGAAGCCAAGACAGCCCAGCTTCAAAATGGGCAGGTCTTCTAGGCCTTCGAGCGTTCGGCAGGCACGGCTGCCTTGCCTTCGAGCTGGACTCTCTTAGCTTCCCCACGCTCATCGTGAGCGTCGTTCTCCCTCTTTCTCTCTCTAGACTTGTTGTCTTTGGCGGACGCTGCTGCGGCGCGCCGAGCTTCCTTTTCTTTGCGTTCGTTCTCGCGTCGGAGTGCCTTGGATTCGAATTCGTGCCAGTCACCGTCCAGAGTAGCGAGCCTATTTGAGTTGTTAGTTGTATTTCATCTAAACAGTTGTGGGTAGAAATGCTTACTCAACAGCCTGCCTTGGAGGAGGCTCCTCGGTGGTAAAGTATTCATCCGCGAGGACCTCTGCAGCTGTCGGCCTCTTCGCAGGGTCGTAACGGAACATGGCGGCCAGCAGGCGATAGGCGGCAGGAGGCAATCTGTCTTGGTACTTGTCGGCGAAAGAGTTCGCCCGCCGGTAACCTGGTCTTAGCAACTCGAACCAAGCCATGTCCACCAGCCCAGGCCATTCTGCCTTGTTCGGTGTTCCCATGACGGCATAGATCTTGTCCAATTGGTTGATCTCGCTTCCATCCCCGGGGAATATGGCATGGCGGGTGAAGATCTCCACCATGACACAGGCAGCACTCCAGACATCGCAGGCTGGACCATACTGCGTCTCGCCGAGAAGTAATTCAGGCGAGCGATACCATATGGTAATAACACGATTGGTATAATCCAGCTGGTGTCTCTTCGCGTAGAATCGTGCGAGACCAAAGTCTGCGAGCTTGAGGATTCCGTCGCTGCTGACCAAGATATTGGCGGCTTTGATGTCGCGATGGAGGACTCCACGTTTGTGTAGGTAGTCCAAGCCATCGAAAAGCTGTTTGGCCATGTGCTTCTTCTGGGCCGCATCCAGCTTGAAGGTAGGATGGTTCAGAATACCTGTCAGATCGTGGGACAGATATTCAAAAACCATGAAACAGTCGTTCTTCTCCACCATGACCTCTTGTAATTGGACAATGTTGGTATGGCGTAGTGACTGGAGAAGCTTGATCTCTCGGATGGCTGTGACCGGGAACCCGTCTCTCTCGCCTTCCATCCGAATGCGCTTGAGAGCGACCAAGCCTTTGGTGTAGACGTGCAAAGCTTTGAAGACCTTGCCATAGGTGCCCGAACCGACGACAGACTCGTTGCCAGGCTTGCGGAAGTAAACTGAATCTGAAGTCTTCAGGTCTTCAGGCAATACCGGCCCAGACTTGAGCCGCCGCATAGTCTTCTTGATCTTGCGAGTCCTTGGTGCAGGGGGCTGACGGGGCCCAGGAGGTGGTTGGTGCCTTGAATCCTGGCGAGCTCTGGCCGACGCAGGTTCGGTCGGAGCCCCGCGAGGGACGTCTCTGTCGGCGGCTTTGTCCTTCTCCTTCTCCCGCCCCCGATCTCTATCCCGGTCTCTGTCGCGGTAGTCCCGTTCCCGGTCCCGGTCGCGATCATGTTCTCGGTTACGGTCCCTGTCACGGTCCCTGTCACGGTCACGGTCTCGATCTCTGTCCCGGTGGTCACGATCCCGATCATGGTCGCGATCACGGTCGTGGTCTCTCGAATCATTTTGCTGAATGGATTCACGTCGTTGAGGAACGGCATTGAACTTCTGAGAGATCTCCGGCTTAGGCGCCGTCGGAGTGGGCTTTGCAGACGCCTTAAACGCAAAGCTGAACTTCGACGACGACTGAGCAGCCGGCCCGACGGGCGGCGCTCTGCTAGTTCGTTGGGTATCGCTCTCACCGGTCTTTTCGGACGGAGTCGTGTCCTCCACTTGCATGTCTTTTGATGGCCGGAAAGGGTTTTCGCCCTCTGCAGCATTGTCGCCGACGTCTGACTTGTTGCTTTGTGCGGGAGTCGTGGACTGCTGAGAGTTCGCTTCATCTGCTTGTCCGAATTGGCCACGTGAAGCAGAGGCATGGTTGTTGGAAGTCCACTGCGCACTCTTGAAACCATTACCTCTGTAGTTACCCCGACCGGATCCAAATTGGTTGCCTCGGAATGCAGCGCCGCCGCCGCGGAAGCCACCGCGGAAGTTGCCCTGGGAATATGGCTGCATAGGTCCGGTTGGAGCACTTGGGGGCGGTGAGAATGATTGGTTTGGTGTGTACGAGCCTTGTGGTCCAGATGGGGGGCCGAAGTTGGATTGAGGGTACTGAGGAGGGTATTGACTATGCGAATGTGAGTAGACGAATCAAGACGAGATGGTGGAATGATGGAAAACTCACTGTGTCGGGGAGAATTGCTGAGAGCCCCAGTTCCCTCTACCAGCACCGTAGGGTGAGTGGTTTGGGGAAGCGTTGTAAGAATTTGGAGTCGGCTGCGGGGACTGGGAGAATTGGCGCGGGTCGCTGAACTGTTGGTTGAATGAACCAGGGTGAGACGCAAAGCCTCCCCTGTGATTGCCTCTGCCGCCCATGTTGACCTCCACGCTGTTCGCGCCGGAGGATGGCTGAGACTTTGTAGGCTGGCGTGAACCTTCGTTTTGCGGTACTCGTCGACTCGATCCCCTACTAGCGGACCGAGAGGATGCACGAGATTTAGATTCCTTGCGATGCTGACGGTCTCTGGAACTACGAAGGGGCGATGCCGGACGTCGCTCACCCCTGACAGATGTCGAAGACTCCCGTGCAGGGGATCTATGTCGGTGGTTTGATAGCGGAGATCGGTCCCTTCTCCGGGTTGATGATGGCTCGCGACGACGCGGAGGGGAATAGTCTCGGCCGCGTCGGTCTCGACCCGGCGAGCGTGACCTGCTCCGGCGGTTGCGGTGGCTCCGTTCCTTGTTCTTTGGCCTGTAATCCCGGCGGTCGGGGCTAGGTGATCGTCTGGAAGGCCGAGGAGAGCTGCGGGAACGCCGTGACTCCGCAAGGGGTGCCGAGTCTTTGCGGTCACGACGAGGGCTGTGGTCTCGTCTTGATTTCTTCTTGTCTGCAGTAGCTCGGTCCGTACTTCGACTTCTCGTTCGCTTCACAGAGGGGGATAAAGAACGGCCGTCGCCTCGGGGATGTCCTCGGCTGCGATCCCTATGTGACCGGGTACGGGAGTCGCGCCGCGAGTCAACGGCGTCCCGGCCACGAGACCGATCGCGGGTATCCTCCTTGTACTTGTCGCGACGTGAAGGCGATGGGGACGCACGGCGAGGGCGATCTCGGCTACGATCGCGAGATTTGTGGTGGTCTCGGGAGGAAGGCTGTGACTTGTCGTTGGGATGGTCGCGCGGTTTGCTGTCTGGCAATCTATCGGAATCCCGAGGTCGACGGGATGGAGGTGAAGGAGATCTGCGGGAGCGTGTCACTTCTCGACCAGCTCGGCCTCGGTCTCTGCGCTCATCGCCTGGTCTGCGGTCGTCTCTCATGGCGACATGTCGAGGTCGGTTGTGGTGGTAGGACTCCATCGTAGCAGGCAATTCGATTTGAGTTTTTAGATGCAATGCGAGCACGTTGCCAGCCGAGGTTTTTCCGATAACGCGACACTCTGCCCTGCTAAGCGGGATATGCAGCTGTCGAGGCGGGCGTCTGTGGTGATGCGAACCACCAAAGACAGAATCTGGGGGCTGCAGTCGGCAGGAAAAATCCAGGCAACAGGTGGATAAGCAGAGATTTCGCCTTCGAGCGTAGATGGCAGCAATGCACCAGCCCAATCTGCCGCATCTTTGCGGATTTTGAAGAGTATGCAGCAGGTAGGCGCTTGGGTGAACGTACACCGCAGCAGCATGCCACCACCAACCGTCAGAAAGTCGGCAGTCATTCCATTTCCCCCGACCCAACTCGGTGCACTTGCAGAACCACAGAAGGGGGGGAAACCTCCACCAATGCTCCCATGGCAAAAATTTGGCTTGTCCTGTGACGCCTGGATGCATCAACTGGTGATCCAGTTCTTGCCTGAGCCCGAACCGAGAGATAGACCAAAATCCTAGCATACTATCTGTCCTCCTCTCCGCCGATACCCGATACCCGATACTTGGGCACAAGACTGACGCAACAAGGTCACTATGTACGATTTACGAGCCGGACGTGGCCGGGTTTTGCTTGGAGTCTCCTGGAGCCACGCCCGACGAGTGGCTGTCCCAGAGCACCTGCTTCGAACGTTGGCAGAAAAATTCAGACCATCCGGCCTGCTGCTCAGTGTTCTCTGCCCGAGTGGTAAGGGCCGAAACGGACAGCATGATGGCAGCGTCGATAGAAACACATAACCATGGTCGTCTTGCACAGGGTAACGGTTGCAAACGTCGCCCGACACGCACCGTGTTGATAGATCGGGCGTGCATCTCAAGGCGTCCTCCACAGGCAAGGAAAGAAGTTCCCATAGTGATCCGCATTCAAACTCCTCCCGCCGTGCGTAGAACCGCCGCCTTCCTCTCCTCAGAATCTAGAGGCAAAAGACCCATGGGCCAGCATCAGAGGACCGGCTGGCTCGGACCCGCTGGGCATCGCTTCAGTACGTCGTCTTTCGCGACGTAGTCTTGGGCTTCTGTCGCCGTTCTCCGCATTATCAGCACCCAGGCACGGCGCTGCGTTTCGTTGTCGGACCCGGTCGAGCTGGCACACTGGCCAGACTTAATGGGTGGGTTGTCGCGGCACCGAGGCCTTTCCGTCTGTTGGCGGTATGCATGGCTTTGCGAGTGTGGCAATATTGCACAGCGAGAGTACAGTCAAACTGCCTGGTGAGTATCATGGAAACCGCCGCCATAGCCTCGTTCACGACACCATGCTCTGAAAGACCTCCGGCACATTCAGGCAGCAAACTCCGTAGCTCCGTAAGCCTTCGGGCGTGGGCTGGGCGGTAATGTGCCCTGCATCCATTGCGAAAAAAGGCCGCCGTGAGAAATTTCAAGTCGATCGCATGTTTTGATGGTCTGGAAAGACGCAATCGCGCGTCATCGCCTGCTGGTTGGGATCAGTGTAGTGTCTTGGGTTGCGTGGTTGGTGACAATCAAATGGAAGTGTCGTGGGCCGAGGGGGAAAACCTTGATCCCACATTGAAATCACGTGAGACGGAGTCCCAAGCGGACAGTGCATAGCACTACAGTGTCCATATCTAGAGTACTGTGCGTGGTACCTCAGGGATCACATCCACCGTTCACGACGGCGTTCAATAGCTAAAGTTATGTTCATTTGCCTTCGGTGGCATCATGAGTGCCCTAGCCACATCTTAATACTTAGTCCGATAAGGACAACGGATATTTCTCTACAGCAGACGTCGCGTCTGTGACCATGTTGGACTGGCTGCTACGAAACGAGCCAGGAGATGGCTTCTTCATATACGGCAGTCAGCAAATTCTAGAATCCGCCAAGGGTAAGGGTGTCTTGTTTTACACGTTTGCCTGAATAGGTGTCTTCTGGGTCACTTCTGCGGCCTTCGGGCACTATTCAAATTCCAGTCTCTTGCTCATTTCCTCCCAAGTGCGTCTCGATGGAGCACGCGGAATGTGATCCGAAGTGCCGGCCGCAAGCGCTTGGGCCCTGTCAGCAGTCGCTGCAAGCATGGCAGCTGAGGCTTCTTGAGTGTCCGTGGCAGTTGTGATTTTTGATCAGGTTGAGACATTACCATGCCTTGAGGGATTGGCTGCACCTCGTGAGGCAGTCTCGGCCTGTTGACATGATCACCGAAATGACTGAAGCTGTGTTTAGGATTAAACCCTGCTGGGATGTAAGAGGGCATTGCCCGACTAGAAAGGCTCGTTGCCTGATCAACGCATTTTAACATCATCCCTAGAATGATGTTGAAGGCACAAAGCCTGGAATTGAAAATGATCGTGTGGGCCAAGCCATCCAAAGACCCTGGAGCTAAGGACTATGGAGAATTTCAGCTGTGTAGACCGCCACATCCCCGGTAAATATTACGTCTGGGTTTCGCGTGGTGAATTACAGCTGTTTCTCAATCTGAAAGACAATCGCTTGCATTGAGCCGGGAGGTGAATAGTTGTTGTAATGATCGTACCGTTGAAGAGAGGTTGGTGTTATCGTGATCTCGAGATGAAGCGATATTATTGTCCGCATCCGTGTCAGTGGGAATACGTTCAACAACAACGAATCGGGTCAAATGACAACGGTCGAGACCGTTACAGATATATCTCGTTGTTTGGCGGGGCTGGCTAAAGTCCCAGCTTATCGGTATGAAGGTATACTTGACCGGTTGCAGTCGTGGTGGAGGGCGGGCATGCTTAAGCTTCAGATACTGCAGTCGGGCATCGGTGCCTAACTCCATAGAACAGGTGATAAATCTTGAATGGAGACAACAGCTTGATTTGCAGATAGGTAGGAGTTTCGGAGTATGGCACTTGAACCGACGATGGCTCAGCTCTCGGACGTCTGGGAATCCCAAAAGGCTCAACTGAATAACATGACGCGGGCCTAGATCGACATGTCAACTTGGCTCGGGAGGGACCTTAGCGATGGTTGAGATGTCAGTGACAGGAATGTCATAGACCGATTCCCGGACAACCAGGTTTTACAAGATCAACACTGTAGGTGATGTAAGGGATCGTCGTCTGGCGGGTGTATCCGGAAGCATTCGTGGACCATCTCACGATCTTGGCCATCGGGGGCTGAGTTTGCAAGGCGATATGGAAACAAGACTCCCGCGATGCCTTGGAACGTTGTGTCTCAGGATCCATAGCTAGTGAGAGACTGTGGCGAGATGGCAAGAGGAAAAAACTTCCAAATGAGACACGATAGTTGGGGGCACCGGGAAATTTTGCTTGGTCAGAGCGAAGGACAAATAGAAATTGGCAAGACGCCATTGCAAGCAACAGCAACTCTGAATCGAGGGTTGCAGAAGAAGGATCGAAGTCTGCAGCTCGCTCCAATTGTTTACACTGATTGGACGCCGTGCATGCGCGTTTCTTTACTCGCTCAATCTCCTGATAGGTCACCCCAGAAAGCAATACTGCGAGTTCGCAGACAGAGTCTGGGGAGCTGGAGTGTCAACCCCGCAAAGACTGTCGTCATTCTGACTAAGCATCTCCAGAGGAAGCTCGCAACAGCTTGCGAGTGCTTTGATCAGGTACCCACAGCTATCAAAATTGCGTGAAGACTGGCGCTGGCGCTACCCGGCCGTCATTCCACAGGTAGCGGCCCCCATGCTGGGTACGGCCCAGGTACCTTGACCAGCCTCCCGTGCGCTTTTCTCTCTGGGGTTTTCTTCGATTTGGCTCAGAATTACGATGTAGAAGCCAGAAAGAGGGTCGAAAGCAACCCCAGGGTTCTGTACAAGGCGACTCCTCGGCGTTTGGACGAAGCCAGCAGCATGGAAAAAGTTTTCACTGTTTCCCGTAATAGCAACGGGAATTCTCGCGCGTCAAATATCGGGTTCGTCAAGACTCGTGGCGCATGAAGAGTCGCATTCGGAGAATAAGAGCGGCAACATCACACACGGCGATGCCGTAGGCGGCAAGAAGCAAGGCAGCATACACACACACATACACACAATACAGAGTAGAACAGGAGGTGGAGAGAGTACGAATACCGGACGGCGACTCGGCGAGAGCAATATGGGAAAAGAATTTGTTGAGAATGCGCGTGGTCTGGACTTGTATCCCCCTGGTATTGGGTGACCAAAGTCCACCCCAAACTGCACCTCACTGTGGATTCCCGCTAGCGGTAGCTTCAAAAGTTGAAAGTTCAGACAGGCCTAGGGCCCTGTAATATCCGCTGTTATTGTTCCACAGTCGTCCCCAGCTCTCCCTCCAGCGTCCATTCATTGCCCATTGAATCGCGCTGCAGCTCCAGTATCCCCCCCCTCTTCACCCGCACTCCGAGGAAACAGACAAGATGGAGACGGGGAAACCGTACTCTGAGCAGCTTATTCGCAGCTGCAGCTGCAGCTGTTGCCATTCCGTTGCCATTCCGTTGCCTGACCACTCCCTCTGACCATTCGTATTCTCCCCGGTCCAGATACCAGAGGAGAGGAGCTAGCTGTTAGAGGTATCGAGGCTAGCGTCGCAGCGAGGCAAGGTACTGCGCAGTACACGGAACAGTACATGCAGCGAGAAGCTGGGCTGGACCGGACTGGATTGTCCAACCACGACCACACCACCACCTCATCAGGCCAGGCCTGCCAATGCAATCCATGGATGCCCGCGCGCCTTCTCTCACTCTCCCCCAAGACAATCTCGTAGCTAAAACCTTTCTTCCCCGCAAACATCTCCTCTCGAGAGAGCTCTTGTCTTTCCCTTCTCCTTTCGCCATCCAGCACTTCTTAAGCCCGCTGTTGTTTGTCTCGCCCAGCATCTCCCACACGCCTTATTGTCTTTAAATCAAAGCCTTGTCCGTCTGCACGCCATCTCGGGAGCTTCCCCAAGCTCCGACGTCCTTTACCTCTCGCCTGCGTCGCCTTGGTTACCTTACCTTGCCTGTCAGTACGCCCTGCATACTTGCGTCATTCAACCTTCAA